CTCATCCAAATGTTTTTAAGCTACCCCAAGGCTCCATATTGCATATCCAGCCTCCTAGGGCGTTGTTTCCACATAAAGTTGCAAACTTTACATAATTGCATGGTCCTAGGTGCCAAAACCAAGCTAAGGGAAATGTTTAAACCAAAAAGAAGAGCCTTAGCATGCTAAATCTGATAAATTTATGGATATAGGGACTTAGAGGAGTCTATAACTGAAGTTACAACTTCAGATCATGCCCAATACACAAATTGACTCACAAATATGCTAAAAATGGCCCTAAACCTTTTCATGAAGTGATTTAGCTAAAGATAAGTGAACGTAATGACTTGTTACCTTTAGAATGATGCCAAGATGAAGTAGAGTCAGATCCACGAGCTTCTCTTTGCTCCAAGCTCCTTAGACTTCAAATCTTCTTCACAAAACACACCAAAATCACTCTTTAAATCTTACAAACATTCAAGAACAAGGTCTAGACTAATTAGGGTTTCTTCTGGCCGTCAAGAGGTGGTAAGGGGTATGACGAAAGGACTTAAGGTCCTTTAAATAGGGTACAAACCCTAAAAATTAGAAGTTCATCTCCCATCTCCTACTCTCCGAGTCGGGGTACTCCGACTCGTCGAGTAGACCACATAAATCACGCGGTCTACCTAAAATTCTACACGACGAGTTAGGGCCTCCAACTCATCGAGAAGACTTTCTTAATTGCATGAAATCCCTAAATCTCATTCTCAGAACTTGGGATGTTTCAACTCTCCCCCAATTGAACTAGGCTTCATCCTCGAAGCCTGCTGCAATGGAAAAATTCAGACAATGCACTTGCATTCTAGCCTCTGGCTCCGAAACCCACTTGCATCCCTCCCGATGATGCTACTTGTACCTTTACTAAAAGTATCTCATTGCTACGTAGAACATTTACCTCTCATTCCAAGATGACCACCGGCCTCTCGACATAGTTCATGCGTTCATCGTCATGAAGATCACTTAATGATGTCACGATGTACTTGCCTGACACGCACTTCCGCATCTGTAATACATAGGATGTGCTATAAATCTAACTGAGCTCCTCGCGGAAACCCAGTCAATACACTTTCTGGCCAACCTTGGCAAACCCGAAATGGCCCGATATATCGGAAACCCAAATTCCCTCCTTCCCAAAGCGGATCACACCCTGAAAACCTGGAGTCCTTCCTAGAACACAATCATGGATCATACGCGGCTGCCGATAATTCTCTTCTAGGAAGACATTATATATTCTTTCATGGGAACCCATTCGATAATCAAATTTTTAGAGATAACACGGACTATGGGAGGCAAACTAGGAGATGAACCCTTATTGTGCTGATAGGATAATGCTTCCTTCAACTCCCAAATCCACATATAGTAATAGTCAACTGATAACGTATAACCACAAACACCTGTAACTGGCCAGATCAAAATCAGGCTGGAATACCAATATGTCAAATCCGATCAACCACCAGATCGAAATCGTCAGGGTTTGTCGGCCTACCACCTCAACCCTACGGCTCTTCCTGGCCTTTGTGACCACGACTTACAGTCAGCCTGCATAGGGTATCTTGTCCTACTGCATCTAGTAGGACCGCATCAACCCTCCCATAGATAATCAGGAGCAAGATCTAACCCGATTCCTAGAACCTGACAGACAGGGACACGCTAACCCAACAACCCTCAATTTTTGTAGTTGATATTATACCTTTTGCATGCCACTCGCGATCCACCCTACCAGCAACGGTTTTCCCCCATTTACCGCACCAACCTTGATAAAAGTGTTTAAATACATTCATACAACAATAAAACTAAAAAATCGTCAAACACCACCACCACCGTTAGAGTATCACCACCCACTTGTTGGATGACCACCATCAATAGAAGATGTTAGCATATCCATGACCCATTCATAATCCCACATTCATACCTTGGTCTCTTAATTGTTAACAAAACAAAATTAAGCCATATCATGACCCATGATAGTACATTGATGACCTATACACCCTTTCATCCATATTCATGGCGCAAACACAAGGTCACACTCATAACATGGTCCTCTATCTGAGAAGATAAGAAAAATAAGCCATCTCATCACCCATGACACTACAGTGATGACATATACATGGTGCAAACATAATGTTACACTCGTATCATTGTCTTATGGCTAAGAACATAAGAAAAGTAATAGACGTTTCTTGGCCCCCGACACTACACTGATGATCGATATGTTGTATTGTCCATATACATGACCTACACATAACCCCATACTAATAGCATGGTCCCCAGTCTAAAAATATACCTCTAGAAGGTAGATCAAGATGAAAAAAGTTTGGATCTACAAGTTTCAAGCTGACCAACACTTCGTCAATGAGCTCCTTCCTCCTCAATGTACACCAAGAACACTTCAAATCACTCAAGAGGCTCAAAAAATAATCAAAGGAAGGATAAGTTTTTGAGATTACAGATTGAGGGGGATGGAGGCTGAATACGGGGTGGGTTCCAAGAGTTAATGATGCTAAAATAGGGACCATTCGTGATCACCCATCCTATTATGCTTGGCATACTGCCGCTACGCACATCGTAGTAGACGTAGCCCCAAAACCACCTAACTTCCGAAGGCCATAACTTCTTGGTTCTATGTCCGATTTCAACGATCCTTTTATCCACATAAAGGTAATGAGAAGCTCTACAATCCTATCAACTCTCCCTTTCCTTAAAACCTTCCGAACATAAACCCAAAATTCATGAAAGTCCCATATCATCACATTACTGATATACCCTTGGGTTCCAAAGCACCAACCAAACACTTAGAATCCACAACCGACGTTATACACATTCGAAGGAGTTTAAATCTTTCTTTCCCCAAGGCCCGAAGCCTTATGATAATTAATCTTTGGGTCACGGCCTCGAATTATGAAGCGATTTGAAACAGAGTGCTATAGATCTACTAGCTTTTGTCTTAGTTTATGATATATTTTATCCTTTGTTCTAAATTTATGATTCAATATATAGCCTTTAGAACTGACTTAAAATCATTGTGCAAGCATTATAATCAAGGCACCCACAGATAAATCCAGTAGTTATCTTGAAAATCGTCTGATTTACTTCCTTGTGATGTTCCAATTATACTTCTTTCTTGATACTTAATGAAAATCTGCTTTAAATGGTCATTTTCAACTTTTATTTCAACAATGTGTTCTTTTTAGCTGCAAAATACAATAATAACGCAATTAATTACCTTTTCTCCTATAGTTATTGTTAAAACACTCAATAAAGTACCTAAAATGTCCCTATAAATGTGTATAATTTAAGACATATCAAAATACCTCATACTTGGCTTTCATTTTTCCTCAATGGAAGTGTAAGACTTAGTGCGCGGACAAGGTTTGAAAACTCAAACCTTTAACTAACTTAAGATCAAAGTTTGTTGCTAACATTTGAGTCAAGTTAAGTCTGGTAAACCAATCTTTTCTTGAAATAAGAAGATCAACAAAGTATTCAAAAAAATATTCAAGTAAGATAAGATAAGTACGAACAAAGTAAAGATAACTTAAGAGCAATGAGAATGATAGAGAAATAGATTTGGCTTGCAAGATATTTAGTATATGATGTGAAAGAGAATATTTCTCCAAAAGGATTAAAATTTATGGAAAACTCATCTCCTTAAATAGCCAATGAGTGATAAAAAGACAAAATACAAGACTTGCATGGAGAATGTAAATCAGAAAAGTCAAAAAGCTGACACACAGGATTTACTCAGTTTTGTCCCATGAACTAAATAATCAAACAAGTACTAAATGAAAATAAGCATTACGTGCTTGCACAAACTCAATAACATTGAAAACTAGTAATGTCTCGCATAAGTTTTCATCTCGGAAGAAGCTTGACTTCGAAACCCTTCACATCTCGAAATGCATTTAGACTTTGGTTATAGTTTGGCTTCAGATAGCTAGAGTTTAACTTTCATGTATCAACAATCTCCCCTAAGTGAACTTAGAAATCAACCAACTCCTCACTTGGATTCATAAAACACAAAGATATAGACACTTTGGATCCATTTTAGGACTTCTACGTACCACATGAGATGTTCTATAAACTTCTTCTTCACATGCTGAGGAGAATCATTTTTTGTAGCATTCGAAATGAACTTCTAAAGGATCTTTTTCGGATGAAGACGTTTGTCATAAAATCTAAAGAATTCTTTTCATTTAGTCTACTTTTTGAGATAAACATAGCCAAGTTCCGGTTCTTCAATTAGGACTTCCGCCAAGATATGTGCTTTAGGGAGTTCAGTAGTGATTTTTTCAAAAATGTTATCGATACCGAACAGATGAGCAAATTCAATACCAGACCTGCAAAACTTAGTAGTATAGTCCATCAAGAAATTGATTGCAACACTGTAAGCTCTAATGCTCGTGTCACTTTATTGGCGATCTCGGAAGTGACCAACAATGGTGAGAACGTCATTTGGGTTGATTAAAGGAAAGTCGACATCCGTGATAGTGATGGTTGATTCTTTGTTTTGAGAGAGACAATATATGTACAGTATACAGTTAAGATCAAACTTACTCTAAACCTTTTTACCATATCCAATGATCTTGCTAATCCTCTTCTGAGACCACGCTTCCTTTTGGGGTCGTGAATTGATGGAGTAAAAGGTTCTGAATCTCTCACGCTCTGTTCTAATGATTATTTGAGGATCATTATTCGGATGAAGAGCATCATACTTGACATAGAAGTGACCATGAGGAGAGATTGGCAGATCAAGTTGATCGGCATCCTGTGTTGGAAGATCATAATATAGGAAGGGAAAAAAAGTGTATGTCCTGAATAATTTCTTCTCGGAAAATAGGAGATATGCCCAACATCGGATTTATATTATCTTGCAGCGCTTGAATTCTGATGCCTTCTTCCAAAGCATGATTGATCTCATCTTGAGACTAGTCCACTGACTTTTTTGATGTCTTCATTAGGTTGTCTAAATCGGTAGCAATCTATTTGCCTTTGTCTTGTGCGGTTTCGCTCATGCCAAAAATGATTTGTTGACCGGATTCGGTGATGATAAATGCCGATGAATGGGGAACCAAAGGACCTTTAGGGAGATCTTTAGGTTTCCGAGTTAGAGGACCAACATCGATTTGAGCAATCCTCAGAGCAAGTATTGGTGGAAACATAGATTGAGTAGCTCGGAATGCATCGCCATTTAGCTTGGTCTTGATTTTTTTTCCTATCTCGACTTCGTCTGAACGTTTCTGCTAAAGATGATGGCCACATAATCGAGGACCATTTTAGATTTTCTGTGTCTAAAAGGACCTTCAAAGGTTGTTCCCTGATAGCTTGAAGTCCTAAAACCCCATTTTCACTAGGTCTTCATCTTTTTCATCACCCAACGCAAGAGGTTCAAGATTTTCAACCTCGAGTACTTCTTCGTTAGACGATTCATCTCGGAGCACAAACTCTGAGACTAACTCCTTCTCCCCCTCTTGAATTGGAAGGCTGTGCATTCGATGCAAATATGGTTTCACTTTGAAGTTCACTCAACCATTCAAACACTACTTGAAAGCTCATGTTAATCTATTTGGAGAGAGCATTGTAAGCTTCGACTGTAGGAGCTTGAAATTTATGATGGGAAAATGTTTCATCAATATTTACGAGCATCTCATAGAACTTGTTGTTCAAAACATCAGCAACATTCCAAGTTGCATGGATCAGCTTGAGGAGAACATGTTGCATAATCATATTCATTTCATTTTCTTTATGAATCTCCTTTTCCAGCCTTTGAATTTGTTTCTCATGACGAAAATGAGTTTGCTTGATGGGTTTGTCGGTAAAATTAATCATGTAGTCATGAAGCGTACACGTAGTGGTGATGATGGAGATGTGATGATTGAGGCTATTGTTATACTTCTGTTCGACTTCTTCAACAGTGTGCTTGAACTGGAGGGAAATGAGTTGGTCAAGTTGATTGGCTTGATCTAGTTCAGAGGGAGCAACATATTTGATCTCGAAAAGATATTTGAGAATGAGCTCTAGCTTGGAATTGAGACTTGTAACCTTCTGATAAATAATGGAATCAAGGTTTGCGACTTGTTTGTCGGGGGAGTCAACTTTGGAGGCAGAGGATACAATACTGTCTCGGAGTTCTAACAAGGCAAAAGGATCTGCAAAGTTTTCATCCAAATATCCTATGTCCAAGGTAGAACACTCAGAATTCGTATCATTGTCATTAGCATCATCTTGAGGTTTCTAAGGCTTGGGATTTTTAGCAGGATTGGTTTGATCCCTGTCGCCTTTATTTCTTTCCAAGATAACAGGAGCGGATTACTTGTTGGCTTCAAAATCTACTTCTTCTTCTCCTTGGGATTCCTCAGAGGAAGAGAAAAGATCGAAATCAAAAGTTGGTTTGGAAGATGAAGGCTTTTGTAACATGTTGAAGGATGCAAGGACTAGAATAGCACCAACTAATGTGTTGTCATTGATCATTCGAGAGATCCTCGTCGGTAGGAGGCTTGGGGTTTCTTCGCTTGTGAACATCGAAGGTGGGTCATCCGAAACAATCGTAGGATCATGAACATCTCTTGTAGAGGTTTGTGGAGCTTCTTCAGAAGGATGGAACACCTAATCGTTCTGATTGGATACAAAAAGGAATGGAAGACAACTTTTAAGAGCTCTTTGATGCATGGAAATAAGCGTATACTCTACGTGAGCTCTTGTTAGCTCTAAATGTCTAGAGTGAGCCCTGTCAACAAAATCAGACCCGTATTTGTCCAAAATACTCAATCGTCCTTTACATCAGGTGGGTATCAGACCGGTTGAGGATTTCAAAGTAGGAGAGACTGCTCCAACTTCGAAATGCTTAGAGTCAGAAGCAGGAGCCCCTAATTTTGCTTGTGTAGAATTGAATGGGATTTCCAAAAAGACTCGTGGGTGTGTCCCAGCAGGATTTAAGGGACTTTTTTCAATACTGGTACTATCCTTTTGGGAAGATAGGGGTAGATTATGTGCCTACTCCCCGTGCGTGTGTGCATGTGATATAGAAACTTAGAAGGGTACTTCAACAGAGTAGATGGGAAGGGTAGGCAGTAATATAGAGTCAGATCGAATGCCAATCTGTGAATCATGTTGAGAGGATCCACTAGCTTTGGTTCTCTTTTTTGCTTAGACTTTTGATGGAGAGGCCTTTCATTTTTCCATTTTCTTCTTATGGCCACCAGCAGAAACTGGTTTGTTCAAATTTGAGGGCTGATCATCCGAGACTGAGGTGGATTGTGTTGGTCTGAATACAACTGAAGTCTCAAAATGATGTTTGAGATATGGTGAGTCGAATATAATAGCTGCTAAAATATGAATTGCCAATCACCTGATGTGACAACCCGAAATTTCCATTCTGTATAAACCATATCAAGTCAATAGAAGTTAGAACAGTTACAGTTAAGTTCCAGACTTTTGGGTATAAGTTTGACAGTTTTTCAGGATTTACACTTAAGGAGATATCAGGAGAGTGGATGCACTAGGGTTTTGTGCAACACTGTTATTCCAAAATTCTATGATATCAGAGTTCATTTCGGGAATAAAATATTTTTTGCCAAAAATCCAGGACTATATATAGAAATCTGAGCCATATTTATTCATTAGTTACATTTCCAACCAGAGAAAAGCCATTTCTCTCTCACGAATCTTTGGTTTTTCATCCTAATTCGTGAGTACTTCTATCTAGTTGTATTATATAGCTTAGATTGTGTTTAATAACATCAAAATCCTATCAAAACAGCAAGATTCGAGAGTTTACCGCCCAAGGACTCCTTGGGGAGTAAACTCTTTTATAAGGGCCAAAGTGTGCCCAATGTCCCTCCAAGCCTTGGAACTCAACCTAGAAATTACAATGACATGTTTAGACCACAAAATCATTAAGAAACAAACACTAGAAGTGAGTTCACGGCCAAGGATGTTCTTGGGCCGTGAACACCATTTTTAGGTGCCAAAACATCCTAAAAGCCTTCCTTAAGCCAAGAGACTAGTTTACACATGTACCTAAATGAGTTTAGGACTAGCAAACACCCTTAGAACACCAAGAGTAAGGTGTTCACGGCCCAAGAAGTTCTAGGGCCGTGAACTCCAAACAATAGTGCCAAATGGTGCTATAAACTCTTCTAAAGCCTCGTACAATAGCCTACTTTAGTTCCTAGTTAAATTAGGGACTTGAAAACACCACAAACACCTTCTAAGGGAGATTATGGCTGTAATCTCCAACGGATTTGGTCCCAGGGCCGTGAACTCCTAAAAGGAGTTATATTATGCCCTAAACTCTTCCATAGACCAAGCCATTAAGTAGGAATGATTCTTAGGACCTTATAGAGCAGCAAACATCAAATGGTCACATAAGTATGAGCTTACGACAGTAAACTCATTTGGCAGTGCCAATAGGGCCGTGAACTCCCTTATGGACTTTTCCTTGAACCCTATACACAAAGGCTTCCCCTACAAACACTTAGATGAAATCCTAGAGGTTAATATCACTTGATAAAGGTGTTTAGCATGTCCTAGGGTGTGTTGACTTATTTATTATTTATTTATAGACTAATTTGTTACACATATGTGATATTATATTTTAACTAGGATCATAAGGTGTGTTCAAGACTTCAATGGACACCTAGCAGTCCTACCTCTTTAGTTCATCCATATCACCCACAACAGCTGAGTCCATACCCCTTAATCAATATTTTTAATGTTTTTAAATGTTTTATGGGGGGGATACAAGTAGAATCATGCTAGTTATTATATCAATCACATGTGATTAATAAGAAGCATTCTACAAGTAGAATCATGCTGATTATTATATCAATCACATGTCATTCATAAGCAACATTCAAATGATTTACTACTCATTAGTCGTTTTACCAAGAAGTTTCCTTCAAATGATTTTCATAAACATTTTATATGATTAAAACTCCTTATTAAGTTGTACATTTTACTCTGTACGCTTCATTTCAAACTCATTTACAATTGTGTTTCAAACAAATGTTCCTTTATACTTATACTGTTTTATCAAACCCATGCTTTCAAACCGTTTTATAGATTGACATCAAGTCGATCTTTTCTTAGATAATAATTATGTTCAAAGGTTTTACAAAACTTATTTTATGCTTTTATATTATCAATTGCATGCCTATATATGTATAGTTATATAAGAAATGTTTAAAAGATTTAGGAAGGCTATCCACCCTATTTCCTTTTCGCGCTTGAGATGCGGTTTGGTGGGATATTGGGTATCCGTCCAAAGGTTGTTTAAATATTTGTTATATATTATGTGTACATATATAGTCATAAAAGTTCTCCCAGTTCATTCAGTACCCTTGGGTAGCAAGGGTATACTTACACGTTCTAGTGGGATATCGGGTATCCGTCCAAAGGTTGTTTAAATATTAGTTATATATTATGTGTACATATATAGTCATAAAAGTTCACCCAGTTCATTCAGTACCCTTCGGTAGCAAGGGTATACTTACATGTTCCTACGTACCAGTTACATTACCAGTAAGCTACCATAAGGGTACTTTAGGAAGATACTAGAACTATTACTAGAACATGATATCATATAATGAGTCAGTTCATTTATGAGTCAATAATTGCTAGATAGAGAGAGATCACACGTCACAGCTAGTACACACAGTACATTACTATAATATTACATAGATATGTTTACATGAGTACATTTACATAGGTACCTTTACATGATTACATTTACATGAGTACACTTACATGAGTACATTTACTTGATTACATTTACAGGAGTACACTTGCATGAATACCTTTACATACATACATCTACATGAATTAATAGTACATTTCATATGTATAGATTCTGTTATATAATCCTCATTCTTATCTTCACTTTGTGATACAATCACATAATTGGCAAGATAGATTGGATTTAATATCCTAGTACCAAAGGATACGTTGCGGGATTAACCATTCCTAGAATCTCTGTTAGCTACATAGGTAAAAGCACATCCATGGATGTCAACGGTTGATACCATTACAGGTATAGTTTAAGGGACTAACTATTCCTACACCCAGCTGTTAGAAACCGAGGTAAATGTACATCTACGGATGTCTTCAGTTGACACTGTTAGTTATCTTAGTACAAAAGGATAACACTTAGGTTATTTATATTATTACCTCCACCTTGTGACTCATTCACATAACCGATGAGGTAAATTATTTGAGTATCCTAGTACCAAAGGATACAGTTTTCTTATAATAATAATAATAGTAGCACAGTCGGGTCTTGGTAGAAGATTGCATTTAGAACAATCGGGTCTTGGTAGAAGACTACCTATTATAATAGTAGGAATCATAGGGATATCTAGTGTTTTTCAAACGTTTACAGTTGTTTTACAAACATTTTCATACTTACACGAACTTTCTTTCAAAACTTTTTCAAGTCTTTCATTACATATCATGCAAATACTTACATAAAAATTAAGACACATTAATACTTATGATCTCACCAGCTTTAAAGCTGATACTCTCTTTCAAAATAACTTGTATCCTCAGGTCATCGATAGACAGGTACCGATGCAAGGTTTAGAGAAGATGGAGCTCCTTCAAGACTCATCTTTCATTTTGATTACTTTAGTGTCTATTATAATTTGACAGAACACACTTGTATTAAAATTATATCATTAATGCAATGGATGATGTTGTTGCTTGTTTACTACTTTTCATTGTTGTGATATTGTACATGACGTGCTCTCGCCTCAGAACGTTTCCGCCGTTTTTTTGTTTTGGGGTTTGACAGATTGGTATCAGAGCATTGTTTATATTGAATTAAGTATATCAACCCATAAAAGATATACTAACTATAAATACCTAGGGATTAAAAATACTCTAACCAAGAGTTTATACTTTAAAAAATAAAATATTTAATTTAGTATACGTGTCTGCATTCATACTAAAATCAGTTTCACTAGGACAGTACAAAAGAATTACGATTGTTAGGCACACAGGTGGACTTAGAGACATATAGTCAAAACCGGGAAGATATAGCCTGATCACCTATATTATCCGAGGTTTGACTAGCATGTGCCTAAGTGTAGTTGTGTGGTTGTAACAAATCTAAAATCTTACCAACAATACCACAATGAGAACAGTAGAACTTAACATCAAACTTAAAATACTGTAGGAGTATTTGGTGTTACTATAAGTGCTTTATACATGAGAACTAAAACGGGATCTTCATTACTAAGTTGATAGTTGCTCAGTGGATACACTAAGGCTGTATGTAATTAGGATGTTATAGACTTAGAATCTGTGAAAATTTTACTTTACCCCTATTCTGTGTGAATTTTGAGTTAAGGTCACTTATTTGAAAGCCTATCTTGTTTCGATTACATATAACTGTTATGCACTCCACAAATAGTGATGTAACTAATGAAGATTTTCTAAATAATTATCTAGATAGTTCGTCTAATAGTTATTTTCTTACTCGAATTCTCACGTAGATAACATGGCTGGACTGTATCCCCACGACA